CTTATTCGATATTTTAGTTCATAAAAAACGTTATCTTTTTTCTACCTGCCTTTCTTAGCTTATTTTTCTATAAAAATTCGCGCCAAATAAGTTTCCACACGTTCACTTGATAGTGGATAAGCCGTATCTCTGTTAACATCAGAAACTACTACCAAAATAAATACGACAGCAGTAGTTAGTTACTAATACTTTCTAAGTTTGGTCTTCTCCCAATACCCTGCACGACATCATCGGTATTGGACCAGAAGGTAGATAATTCAAAATTGGGATTAAAATCATATTTTGAAAAAACTATTTTACACATGTACTTTTTTCGGACCGAATGCTAGTTCTATCAGGCGTTGAATTTGGCAAACGCTACAGTGATATAAATACAAACCCATATCTTTAAATAATATAGTAACAATATTAAAATCAGAAGTAAACAAATCTAGGTTAAAATATACTTGATCTCTGTGTCGGAACTATTGTTGTAACATATTTTCAAGTGAAGTAACGTATATTGTGGTGTTTGTTTTCCCAGATCATGTAAATTACCGTATTTCCCAGCGAATAAGTCGCTTTTCTAGACCCAAATTTTTGGTCTGATTTTTTGGGGGGGGAGGGGGAGGGTCGGAGGCTGAGATAAATAAAGGAGTGGATACGTGACCCAAATTTTCTTGATAGAAAAGCGGCATTATAAAATACTTAAAAATAAAACGGAAACCCCATTTAAGTTTTGTATTAGGATGGCCCGTGACAGATTAAAGATGATATTTAGACATTGCAAATAACAAAAAATTTTGTGCTCTACAATTACCGACAGGGCCTGACGCGACTATGATATATATGTACAAGAGAGCTGTGCTCAAATATATGGACACGTTAACCAGAGTGAAGCAGTATTTATCTTTGACGCCACCGCTACCCACAAAAAATTCCGAGTTTCGCGTAGAAATAATTTACAGAATCAAACCGGACAGCCAGTGTTCCCATGGATAAAAATACAGTGAAAAAAGCCTTTGCATGGTATTTTGAGATTCCGATGTTGATGCGATTTTACTACCCGTCCTATTAGCAGGTTATATGCAAAAACCCAATTTTTCAGGCTCAAAAAAGGGCCTCGTCTTATTTACCGGGTAGACTTTTTCACCGGAAAATTCGGTAAATACTTTATACGGGTTTTGTCTCCTTCATATATATATATAGACTATATTAAAATCAGCATATATGTGCTGTGCTATTTCAATGACTAGCAGATTTGTGGATGGTGGTGTACAGTGATTCCCAAAGTGGGCGATATCGCCCCCCGGTGGGCGAAAACGATACAGAAGAGGGCGAAAATGCCGAAGGGGGCGATAAGAGGGCAATTTCGCGAAACCTGTTTTTGTTCGGCGGCTTGATTACTGTACTCTGCGTGCATTTGCAGGTTCAAAGCCCGTGGACGATAATCACACGCAAGAGGATTGCTGGATTCCTCCCCTCCGTAAGGTAGTTTGCGTAGCCCAGGGGTCGGTAACATACAGCCCGCGGACCAGATCCGGCCCGCGACGCTATACTGAACCATAGCGACAAAACGGCGGTTTTGACAAAGAATTAATTTTATAATCTACGCTCGAGAAGTAGATTATATTTTTTAAGTAACATAATTTATCGTGAGACACCTTTAGACTAAATTGTGTTATAACCTAACAAATTAGTAAATAGGCTACTCGTTTAACGAGCCTACAATTTAATTATAATTAGACACATGGCAACCCACAGAAAAGTTGATGCTGAGTGCAGGTTCAATAACGCAGAAAATATTCAAATGGAGCTCCTTGACATGCAATGCAATGAGGAAATAAAATTCATATTCTATTCGAGAGATGAAAGCGAATAAATTCACTTCGATGTTTGCACACATTTGTCGAAGTACATATATGTGGTACAAAAAAGTTTGGGAACCACTGATGTAGATGGTGCATTGACTTCAATAGGGCGTCTTTGTCATTCCAGACATTACACTACAAACAAGACCCTGTGTGAGAAATGTTTCCTCATTTTAATTATGGGAAATAGGTTGTTTTATAGAAAAGTCTTTCGCAATATCTATCTTCTGTAGTAGTGGTAGTCTTGTGATAATCATTCAATTATATAAGCGTAGCACATTCATATTCGGCTGGTAAGTGATTTCATATCCAAAATTTCATACTAGTATTTAATTAAATGTATTATCACCTTGCTTTGTAACACAAGAGTCCCAAGTATATTTAATTGAGCCAACATGGCTGTCTATTCCGACCAATAATCTGGCATCAGTGAGTTCTCCCGCGGGTCATCTCTTTTTGTGTTTTAGTGATTGCACCTCTGTCATTGCTCTCTGGAATTTTGTTATTTGTAAGTTCTATTTTTATGTTTGTTTTATTTAGTTAGTTAATATTTGGAGTGATGGTCATAGAAATAGATTAAGTTGTGTTTAACTGCCGGAACAAACTGACTCACTAATGTCCATTACCACTGCAATACAGTCAAAACAACAAAGGATGGATGATCTATTTGGGATCGGGCTTTTCAAGTAATTCTTGTGTTACTCGCACATTGAATCACTTCATATTATAGTTAGGCCTACACCCTGTATGAGCATAATCGTATATTCTCTTTAATCATACTCCAGCATCATGCAGTAAATCATCAGTGCCGTTATTGCTGTATTGACAGCTGTACTGTGTTGTTGATAGCAGTGTGATCCGGAAAACATATAGTCTACAAATTAAATTGGCATACACGAGTTGAGGATGATATCAGCAGACAGATTAGTAATTTTCAGCTTGCAACACTGTCTGACTGTCTTGTTGCATAATAAGGTGGAATGGAAGAAAATTGAAAATGCGGCTTCAACAATACACTGAACCGTTAGACTACTGGGTAGGATTTCACGTGGGCTTGCTATGACTCTCTTGGTAAGTTTACCAGATTGTACCGTCTAATCGCTCTCCGCTTGAGTTGCAGCTTCTACCATGTGTTGGTGATCTCCACTGCTAAAAGATTTTCTGGTGCTGAAAGATCTACTTCATAACATCTTCTTTGCGGATCTCGTTACTACTTTCATATTCGCAGCTACTCATCCTTTCCTTACCCTCTATTATGCAAATTTTTAACGAAGCCAGATTCTATGGGTGATCAAAACATGAGTCGATTTATATAACAATGTGACTTGATGGCATCATACTTTTACTAAATATTTTATCGGCCGAGCAACGAAATAAAGTGTTAAAAACTGACTGAGTTAATTAAATCCTATTGCCGGACTGTCAGTGTCGGTACATTCATTACATAAACCACCATTGCATGTCAGACCGTAAATATATACTACGACGGTCTGAATGAACTTCCTATGTATATCTGTTTAATATTACATTATTTCTTCAATCTTTATAAAAATACGCAATGTGGAACTAGAATTGAATGCCAAAAACAAGAGTTTAAACACTTTACCCGCGAGATTGTGCGATAGATACGAATTCTGTAACTAGTTCTCGGTACTACCTCATCAGAGGCCGTTTCCGAAATGCATTCGATTTTCGTCGAAGCGGTTTTTAGGTATGAAACCAAGTCGACTTTATATAAATAGTAAGTTTTAAAAATTCTGACTATATATATAGAATCAAATTCTCCAAATAAAATGTTTGTGATGCCCCACCTTTAAGGACTTCGCGTCACCACTAACGGCAACTTTTTTTGATGAATCTCCTAGATCCCACAGAAAAATGTTATAGCCTTTCAGCGAAAAGTACCATCTTCAACCACTAAAAATTTGGTCCGGTAACAACGAGAATTAAAACAGGAGTTCGTACAGCAACATAATAACAAAACGATTTGTATGCACATTTCGAGTCCATTAAAAAAAACAAGGCAACGAATACAACGTTTTCTGCTGTAGACTGGAGGATGGAATATGCTCGCACGGTCAAAATATGCACTAACATTTATTATTTAAGAAAAATTGTTGTTGAAGATGACTAGTATGAACTACTATTTAGATACAACGCACGGACGTATAAGTAATGGAATTGAATATACTCTTCAATATGATAAGGCATGTCAGCCACTATCCATGGGCAATGTGCTAATTACGTGTGACTATTTATATGATATTAAAATGCCGATAAAATGAAAACATACACTTCAGTCAGAACTATTATTGGTATAAAAATAAAATGGAAAAATCTTCATCGGTGGCTAATGGCTATCATGAAAGCGTTGTAATAATCAAATATTGCATTCGAATATACTACCAACGTTGGTGTATGCTATCGGAAAAAAGTTCTAGTAGTCAATGAACAAGACGTGGGCCTATAAATCGATTCGGTATGATGTTGTTGTTGTTAAAATTTCTGTTTTGTTCCTGTCGTCATAATAAACGTTCATTAGTACAAATTTGGTAGTTGCTAATTTTATAGATCATATCGCCTCCTCGAGTCTATAACACAAAAATATTTTTTTTCGTTATTGGACACGAATGGGGCCTATTGATCGTATTTCTAATTATTTTTCTTAGTATTCTTGTGGGTATTTTCCTTTCCTCTTATCCGTCCTGTTGTGAAAAAAATCGCCGTTTTAATTGCCTACTCGACCAATTGCCTTGAAAGATTAGTGCATGGTTAAAGATTGTTGTTGTCGTTAGAATACTATATACTGTTATTTATTTCGAAAATTGTTGTCGGTCCAATGGGATTCTTGTCTCACTTTAAAATTTTGTGCGATAACTTCATCAAAATTTAACATTGTGGCTGTTACGCTATCGCATTTCAAAATGTCGCTATGCGATTTCGATTACGTAAACTATCGCTACTGTAACTGAAAGGTTCTCAAAACGCTCCGCACGGAGTCCCAGAGATCTATTAGGAAAACTCAAAGGCTCCGCGAGCTATTCGTTTACCTATCAAATTGTTATCTTTTTTTTTATATTAATGAAGTCTGTTTTTATTTCAATAATAAAAAAAGAGCGATGCTCAAATATATGGACACGGAAGTCAAAACGAAGTATATTGAGTAGGCAATCTCTCACAAGTAAAGCTCACTAACGATTAGAATAGATTCTACTCAAACTTTTGAAATAAATAAACGTAATATCCATATGGCAAAAAATACAATCTTCAACCACGGAAAGTTGCAAAGCAATTGTTCCAGTAGTTATTTAGGAAAAAGCGTATATTCATATCGATACGAAGAAGAAAAATATCAACAACAACATAATAACAAAACGATCCATATGTACACTTCTTCTTCTACACTTACACGTCTTCAATAATAAATACCCTTCTCCTTGCGTTGTCTCTTCGACAAACCGATATCAAAACTTGCAATCCCAGTGAAAGAATCCATATGATGACCAGGGAAAGCAATACAAGTACAACACATAGCTACCGTGTTTCCTCGATAATAATAAAATGAATATCCGTTCTCATATTTTGTATATTTCAAAATCTCGTTATTCTCTTTATAATTTAGTTTTTGATAAATGAAAATATAAGACATCCCCGGAAAAAAGCTCTAGTGTCATTGTTCGAAATAAAATCGGTTTTGCTTATCTGATACATTTTCAGGCAGGATAACTTGAAATTATTCTTTGCATGGCAGACAAAAGGAATTACTACATTATTCCCCGTTTAATAGGTTATATTTTAAGGGCAATTCCTAGTATTTGTGGGGGCTAAGTATTGCTAGATGTAATCTTCAAATTTCATGCTCGGCTTCCGAACTTCAAGAAATTATTATTGGATAGTCCAGTTCTTTTCTCACACGGTCTTGGGTTTGGACTAAACATCTTGTTCAAAGCATGAAACATGAATCATCACTTAGTAATGATCAGTCAAACAGATAAATTAAAATGATTTCACTTACGGTATTTTCAGGCTGACCTAATATTTCGCAAGCTTGGAAGAAGCGATGCATGTGAATGTTTATATTCGCTTTTTAGTTTTTAGTATTATAGACTTTCATTGCAATTTTTATTTTGCAAATCGTAAATTTTTGTCAATTAAGTATTACATAAATCCAAATTCACCCTATATTACAACAGATTGTGGAGTAGGTATAGTACTTTTAAATAAATCATTAGGAAATATGATAATTATTTTGTTGACGCAGAATTCTCCGTATATACAAAACTAGCTGTGGGCTTTGAACATGGACTTCTTTCTTGTATGAATTGGAAATATTATTTCGGAGTTGTTCGATCGACTCCAACATAAACGATATCCCAAATATATAAGAATTAACAAAAACCCAAACACGGAGGAAATTGAAAACTCAATAAAAATATCTATTCATCAAATGTAAACAATTGTCTACAACATTTCATCATGTATAATACATTTATAACTAAATCAAGCCAGGAGGGGAAAGACATTCATGCACAAATATAGGATAAGAATTTAAGTGGTAGTATGACAGTACATTCATTTAATAAATTATAAACATTATTCCTCTATAATACCACATCACGTCAGTTTGATCGACATTGATGAACTGCATGATGTTCTTGTAATGATGATCATGTGGCTCCGATATGATGTAATATGAAGTTGAAAAAGATTTATCTTCAAAACTCTTCGTTAACATGTCTAACATGCTGCAAAATATTGTTTGTTTTAAATATTTTTGTTTATAACTTCTGACAGTGATAATCTGTACTCTTCGTTTTATGAAATAGATTATGTGTAAATTAGATATTGTTTTTTTTTTAACAGCATGGAGTCCGCAATCTAACGGAACACATATCATTTCAAAAATCTAATTATTACGAAGTAATAATCGGGTCATTTAAATATATCTACACTTACGATATGCACATTCTGGCCCAACCCAACCTCCATCGCAACTACAAGTTGGAGTGTTGCCATCCAATATCACCTGACCATTGACACATTCTGAAAACAATACGTTACTGATACAAACTATTCAAAATATATGTCAAATTTTATGTTCATTTGCCGATGTTTACTGTATATTGCATTTATTTGATCATTGATTCATTGATCTAGTTGCATAGCATCAATATTACTCTTGTGTCAACCTGACTATATTGCAATTTATATTATAAATATAGATATATATATATATAAAATAGCTTCGGAATATTCACGAAGTGTAATTTATAAATATCTAGAAATATTAATTCAAATCAACCATATTTGAATTTTTTTTATTGCGACATGTATTTGTTAGACCGGAATCGGGAGTGTTTCAAAAAAAATATGTATTAAAGTGTATGAAATATGAAAATTAAGAGACGTTATAAAAAGAACTTCATTATAAGCTCCATATAGTCATCATTCAATAAAACATCTCGTTTTCGATAAAAAAAACTTACCAAAAACCTGTGGTAGCGAACTACAGGCATAATCTGCATAGCAACGCATGACATCAATAAGCTCAGATTCTGCTATTTGACTTCCGGCATCGCTGAATATGAATAAAATACTGTATATCATCGGTGAATTATAAAATTGACGCATTGGGCAATGCAAATGAAATTTAATGTAACTTGAAAACAAATAAACTTTCGTAGATTCGCCTGTTACAATGATAAGGCTCAAAGCATATATATATTAAATAATTGCGGCTACTCTATGTTACAGGATAATTTAGTAAACTTCTGGTATATTGCAGTGTGCTAGAGCTCCTCGAACCAATAAGGCCAATGCAGCGGGAACGATTAATTAGTTATGTTTATAATATTTGGATTTGCTAGTTAGTAAACTGGATAAAAGGTCGGCTATATCGAATTACCTGATAACATATTTACAAAAATCAAACTTCTCGAGAATTCACAATTTATTTGATTTATGCCTTCTAAAACACAAAACGAGGACAAACATATATAGCAACTAACCCCCAAATGTACCCCATTTCATGTTAAAAATATGAAAACAAAGTTAATTTTTCCCAAAATTCGAACAAAGACTTTCGTAGGAATCAAATTACACCAGTTTAAGAAACGTATTATGTTCCACCCAGTCATTATCAAATTAAAATCTATATTCTCAAGACCTTTGGCACTGATTGAAATAATTATATCTAAGTTCCAATCCGTACGATGTACCTAATTACCCTTATTGAGATAATAGGAATTTCTGTTTATAACGTAAATCACGAGCTCACGTTTACAGCATTTAATTGGATTTATGATCAACGTATAAATACGACTCCGATATCTTTCAATAGAGGGAAGACGATGTAAACCATTCTAAGCTAGTCTGGATAAATGTTATAAGATTTGTATTCTGTGTGTTGTGGAAATTTACGAATAAAAACATATAGAGATTTTTAACGCATCTTCATTCACGTGGGCGTTGAAGCTGAAGGGTGAACGGGTGACTTGCAAGTCAGAGACAATCTACGAAATAGCAATATATGGTAACATCCCATTCATTTACCAATAATATATGCTATAAATGGTGACCCCGACACTTCTAATGTTGAGAGTTTATGATGTCTTTGTATTCCGTTTTTTTCATTTGAGATTTAAAAAGGGATAGATAATCATTTTTAAAAATCACTGGAACGTTGAAATGACCAGTGATATGATGTGATATGTACTAACTACACTGTACGTCCACGGTTTAGTTAACAGGTGTGTTTTTCAGTCCGAAGGATGATCATAAATCACTATACGTCGTGATAGCCTTATTCTTTTTGATGTACCGAGATAGGACGTGAATATGGAGTGCCTCATCGCACGCGCGACCTTACGATTGCTACTAAGTTTTTAAAAAGAATAAGACAAATAACAGCTGACAGTAAAAGTCAACTAAATAACTGATTGACAAACCCCTTGGCGTCGAATACACTATAAAATTTATCAACCAAGATTTAAAGTTTACATAAATCATGTAGGTCATGGGCCGACTCCAGAAAAAATGAAATAAGTGTAGTCGCCCAATGAGACGCCACGCCAAAACATTGGGTCCTAATAAGCTACTTAGTAGCCGGAAAATACCGTATCAGTGAAAAGAATTTATATTTTAAGTTTATAAAATATTTTATATATACTGGTACACATACAAAAACATACGTCACAACGAGAGTATATCCAAATATCACTCCTGAAATTTCTCCGGTGGTGGAGAATTCACTCGTCACATCACTGCCTACAGTCCCAGCTACGGTTTGAAAATCCAATGATGCGGAGGTTGGAAATTTGGAATACTTAAAAAATGAATTGTATTTCAGTAAACTGATGTAATCGAAAATAATACTTTTTATAACTATAATTGGTTACATTACATTACAGTTTGTCCAAATGAGATTTAATATGTATTGTCGTTATTCTGAATTAGCTAATTTCTGAATAAGTACAAATGATTATTCCGATACAACCAAATATTACTTTCAAGCGTCACCCTATTGAAAGTCTTGTATCTGGAGTAGAAACTATGAAGGTTCCGAAGTTACAATTCAGGTTACAGGCTGGAGAAAATTTCTTGATTGAAAATATAGCACAAAATTTCATAATCTCTCTGCAATTTTAGTGTAATTTTGTGGAACTTGATTATAGATTCCAAGCGTTCTCATCAGTTATCTTCAAAGTAATAATATCCATTTCATAATGTCATTTTTTTTCTGTTATTTGTATTTGTGTATTACATTGTATTAATAAGATACAGTTTTTCTCAATATTGCGTTGTACCACATTCAAAATGTCATTAAAAAGCACACGGCCACAGCCCAAAATATTCGCATACAAACGGGAAATCTTACCCCTGCCTGACCCAAAACAAAGAATATATCTGCCATTGCTGGAGCGTTTGAGTTAGTCGGATTGTATCTCTGAACAATTCCATACCACACACCACATGTTCCTCTAACTTCATTTCCAGATATTTCTTGATCACCGACAAGATTTCCATCTCTGTTTGCGTGAGTTATCTAAAATGCATAAAATCAGTTTAAATAAATACTTACCTTTAGAATAAAATGTAATCAAAGATATAATAAAAAAAATAATTATCGATCTCGACCGGTAAGTCGATAGGTAAGGTATTTGTCTGTTAGTTTGTTTGTCTGTTAGCCACTTTCGTATGTTACTCGATATCTATCGAGATGTCTATTGATTGACCAGAAGTCCATTGATTTTGGATGAATTATGTCGTATAATTAGCGAGTTATAACCTAATTGGTGATGGGACACGCGGTGTCGCTATTGAGTCAGAGCGAAGGAATCGAAACCGCAGTTTCTGTTTTGGGGGATCCCCTAGCTTTTGTCGCTCCGTTAAAATTGTCGATTAAAATATTGAACAGGAGGAAGATCGATAAGTCTGCGATCTCCAAACGCTATATAGCTTTTAATTTTAATAGGTAACGGTTTTATTGTAGTGAATAAATTCTGATAAAATCATTTCTACCACAATTTCTTGTCAAGAAAAATATATTTTATGTCGGGCTTGTACAAATGATAATTTTAAATGCTTCAAATTATACGAATATTTCTTCTACAAAGATAATAAATTTTCTTTTCTTCGTTTCTTGTTCTCAACAATAGTATTTGAAAAACTGAATCAAGTCTACTCAAAGATCGGGTCCGCTCAAACGATATGAATTGAAGATATGTAGTTTGATCAGAGTTCAATTGTGATATTCTGTGATAACCAATTGTGAATTGAATGTGATGAAAGGCAGCCATAAATGATAACGTCTATCAATGTGTTGTTTGTGGGTATTAATAAATTAATACTTAATTTAATCGTCGTACAAATGGTTTAAAGAAACTCATGGAAATGCACAATAATCAATGTTCATTTCCATGAAAATGCAGACTTTGTCAATTTGCTATTCACATAATACCATATATTCATATCCCTAAATGTGTTTATTCATGCTTTTAAATCATTCCTTTTCAAAAATTAAACAATTTTCCAGTGAGATTGGTTTAATTTATTTGATTGCACTGGTATTCTGATAAAAACAATACAATACAATACAATGCTGACAATTTGTTGTATAAATAGTGTAACTATGCATCTTGACTTTCCTCCTTGTCATCAGGACTTCTTATTCCTGTTGACTGGACCCAGTTATGTTCATTAATGCATTCCTATATTAGTAATTTTTAGAAAGCAAAATCAGGAATCGACGATTGAATTATACAGTTACCTTCACGTTCCATCCTATAGAATGTGTTTGAGAGACAGGAATTTCGATTCCCAGAAGAAAATCATTCTCACTGCTTGACTGCATTATCGGGAATGGTGATGAAGCACCACTATAATAACAAACAGTTCCTCTTGATTAGTCTGCTGATTCACCCATTAAACACCCCGTTAATACAAATAAATTCTTGTTAGCATCCACAAATATTTATCCACAAATATTTAACTGTATTCGTAAAATTCGAATTAATCACATGATACGTTGAGAAAAGTACCAATCATTGGTAAAGAAAGGCAAATGAAACAACATATTTTTTTTTAACAACATAAATTTTATATGGATATTTATGACTCTTTTTAAATAAAACTGTAGCACTGAACAGTTTGGCGAAATATTCTCTATTACTTTATAATGCAGGTCTTAACTTATTTAACTTACGCGTGATTAGGTATTTGTCTAAGAGTGTCATAATTCGTGGTCGAGTCTCCGAATTCAAAGTTCTGTAAAATATGGTTAAAATGAAACAAACACCCATATATTGAGCTGTAAAAAAGCACCCAAAAAAGAACGTGGTGACGTAAATTTTTAAACCCGATATAGTTTTTGAATAAACAACTGAAAAGAATATATAAAAACATCAAATAGTCTCCTTATGAAAAAGACTTCGAATTTGATCATATGTGTTCATTACAGGGATGGCCATTTCCGAATACTAAACTATTCCGAATACATTCTAAAATAATGTTTTCGAATCTGGAATTCCGAATACATTCTAAAATCGAAAATAACACATTTTTGTTTATTCGCTTTGTACAAACCATATGAAAAGATAGCCAAGGAGTTGTCTGGTGCTTTCTATCATTGGTACCATGATATTACGATAATAGTCAAGTCTATTGACAAAAATACCACTTGTATTCAGATAATTGTGTATATTTTCTGAGAGTAATAAAATTTATTGGCAATACAGGCAACTGAAACAAGCAACAACAATCGAAAATCCATTATGCCTTTAAAAATTCTAATATTCTACTACCTACTACCTACCAGTACATTTGTATATTAATTTATGTGAACCATATTGTTATTATGTGTAACATATTGTTGTGTTTGAGATTAGAAATAAATTAGTAGAGGATAGATGACCACCACTGCCAGCCGCGCAGCCAGGATTTTCGAAATCGGAAATTCCCATTACCGCCTGTAACACGCGATTCCGCGCTTGTTAAAAGAGCCGTTATTTCCGCGTATTATGATCATCCTATTACGTAAAATATTCAATCCATGACAACTACGAGATTCTAAAATATCGTTATATATTAATTTTATATGTCCAACGTAACTCGCGGTTGCTTCTTCTTACGTCAAAAAAAATTCGGTCCACGGCGATCTGTGACCTGAAAGTACGAGATAAACTGCCTGATGTATTTATACGTATTTTTGCAATCTTGCAACTCGTTATCGCCGTTAAAAAAATCTCAAATAATGATATAAAATCCTGTTAAGTGTCGAGTATACTTCATTTCATACAATGAATATACATTTAAAGTTTAGCAGTAAATTAAAAATACATATTCATCGCCGCGAAATCCATGCCGAACAGTCGCCGCGATTACGCCACTTAAAAGATCCGACTTTTTCAACGAAAAATGATTTTTCTCTTGTGCAAAGTAATCAATCCATGACCGATAAGGGCATATTTAAAATTTCCTGCTTTATTAATTTAATTGTGTTCAATTTAATCTGCAATTGCGTCGACAAAACAAAAGCCACTTTAAAACACCACGGAATTCCGCGGACATAAAAATGTGTGGTAAACTGCCCGATTAAATAATGTTTTGATTCGTACTTTGCGAATTCGGCAAATCTTTGGATGTACTTGTTAACAGTGACTCCGCTCAATCGAAATGCTGCCACTCTGATTATTTTTAGAACGTTTAACCGTTCGAAAAATCCATAAATCTGCTGTAACATCTCAGAGTAAAGATTATTTGATCACAATAAAATTGATTGAATATACTTTAGATTATTTATATTATATACATCCTCGCAAGCCGGGAAAAAGTCGCGTTTCAAACCTTGTACCATGTTAACACGAAAATATTCGACGGCAAATCAAAGTAATGGATAATCAGGCAAATCCCGCCTTCAATTCGTGACGATATGTTTCTAAACGACGACCAAACATAATGTGTGCAAGGGGCATACGAAATTTTGCGATTTTCATTGACTAGAAAACCGTTTTTTAAATTTTCGCGGGCCTCAATAAAACTTATATTGTTTACGGTTTTATTTTCAGTATTTTAAATTGCCGCTTTTCAATCAAAAAGTTGCGTTGACTTTAGAAACTCGCCGCTGATGAACGTATTTACCAGATTCACAATTCCGTGGCGTACAGAAATAAAATAATTGTCATCGTTATCGTGGAACAAATTTGTGGAAAATTTTCGTTTTAAAAAAAATAACACAAACGTAAAGGAGTTTACGGCCTAAATAACACTTTACACCGATGAGTGATAAAAACAATCACGCGCAAGTTTCTATCGAGAATGTTTTCATCCAACGGAAACGTCTTGAAAGCGGCGTCGAAAATGTGTGACGTCACACAAATATCCGATATTCTTATGAACGCTAATTCCGATATTCGAATAACAAGATATTCGAATACATTCGAATACTTTATTCGAATTGGCCATCCCTGGTTCATTATAAAATTTTATGATTGGAAATTTAAGTTCTCGATAATTACATACTGTATTTTCTCAAGTCTGTGGCAAATAAGCAGCCGTAAAATTTATTATATAATAAAAAAGCCAATATTTTTTCTTCTAGTTATTTCTTATTTATTTCAATGAAACTGCTTTATCTTAACTAGATGCCCACAGATGTTCTTGTTGCAGTTACGTATCTAATTTGCCATTTTTCTCCGAGGTTTATTTTATTTAATTTCTTATTTCACTGTTGTTTGTATTTCGATTTGCATTGTTATTATAACTCAAGTATTAAGAATGTTTACACTATTTGATTAATGCTTATTACTTTCAACGCTCACTTCAGTTTCTTCAAAAAATAATCACGACATATATTTTTCTAACATTCATTAAGTTAAAAAATAAACACCTCGATCAGAGTTTCAGCGATATTTGCCACTTCGCGAACAGTTATGACTCCACTTTCGTCAACGGCATACAGATATTTGAAGTGATTCGACAGGGCTACTGGACATTCATCTCTGTATGACATTTTAGTTACAAAATTTACAGAATGACCACCTGAAAGCAAAACATGAATATATTACATTTTGTGAAAGCTTTTTATTTCATTTGATTGAATATGCCGGTCTAATTTAAGTGTAACTATAGTATTTCAAATTCAATTTATATATTGAGAAATAAAACTAATTATAAACACAAGACGTTTTGAAGCTTTAATCCGATCAAAAACAAGAATTAGTAGACAAGAAGTCAATTAATTATAATGAAAGATAATTCGATATGAAACTTACTAGAACCGCAGCCTACGTCACCGAACCCCATATTACATTCGCATATCTGTCTGTCGTGTGGTTGAAGTGTTATCACATTTCCTTGGGAACAAACTGAAACAAAAAGATTAGGAGTAGCCATCAATGATCAGATTAGTTAACATGGAAACGAAAAAGATTCATTATAATTCCTATATCCGATTAATCTAGGCAAATAATCTATTTTGGAAAGTATTTATTGTAAATGATTTTTTTATTCGATTTCAATCCTGAATAAAATTCAAATTGATTAATCTTTCAGAAAAATTATATTATAAACAAATACAGCTATTTTGTATATTGGTAAAATTGATCGTTTCTAATAGTGGTAACTTATGATTTAGCTTCAATAAAGAATAATTTTTGTATTCAGAAAAAGCCGATAATTTTGATTTTTTCATCATTATTTGTCGGTAGTCAAACAATGTAGCTTTTATTTGGTGCAGCTTCTGGTCGATGTAATTTCCTAACAAAGTGCATGCATTCCAGTTGGCGAGTGCTACTATGCTATGTACTGATATCATATTCACTCATGACGCGCAATAAGAACAAAATGTAATCCAGTGTTGAAACCGAATATAAACACTGAAGTATGGAAATGAAAAAAAAGAGATGATTGATAGTTAAATTCCTATGTTGTTGTTCTCACTTTGACCGCCAAAATTTAGAAATAACAAAGACACGCGTCTCCAAGAATGATATTTATAGAGTCATGAATTCCAGACGTTTTTCAAATTTCTATCAACTTATTTCTGTCATACTTCTCTCCTATTGAGAGGCCAGATATCAACATGCTGTTGCCGGTATGCTTAAAGAAGCGCTAGAATATCATAAAAGTGGTTAGAATCATTCTATGCCCCCTCAAATTCATCATATCATAATTATTAAGTGTTGCAGGGTTGCTTTGACTTAGTGAATAACGAAAATTTATGGAATAGACAATAAATAAACTTACGATTGGTGCATGTGTTACCAAAATATCCAGGATTACATGTACAGACAATGTCGCCATTTTCAAGGGTCTCTGAGTTTCCGTTTTCGCATATGAAAATACCTGGATTCATGTGTGTCTTAATTAACATTTGAAATGCACGATATCACTTGCGTAGCACAATTTTAAAGCCTTCAGTCTCACATAACAACTTAAAGAAGAAAATGCGTTGTTAAATCTATACATTAAAACATATTTGATAACTAATATGATTATTGCGAATACATATCAAGTAGGTGAATTATTATTATAATTCGACAGCAATGTCCAATTTGTTTCCGATTCTTCTTAATATGTAAGCTAGTTTATACTGTGATGTAATTGTATGTGGTTTCCGGCGCAAGTTTTTCATTCTAACCCGTTTATTTTTCTACTTACCGTCAACGACAGTGCTGAACTCGTCCGCATATATCAATGAGATGGCTTCAACGTCTTGGAGAGTCATGGTGTTGCCTTGATCCCTAAAAGTAAACATTTACATTTGCAACGAACATACTGTAAACGCATGAAAGTCAATCATGAAAAAGACATTTATTCAAGAAAACTGAAGCAGTATTTAGTTACAAAATACTTTATCAATATTGTTATCATCCATAAAATCAAAGTTTGAGCTTGTTTTTATTTCATAGTAAAAGCGTGACTCATATAGTCATATCAAAATGACGTTGTACGATGTAACTTTCCTGTGTTATCTGGTTTTCTACAATTTACTAATTGTATCTTTCAATGACCGAGTGATTAAATACATACTTCATAAATAATATAGATCCAAATAAGACGTATCTTGGGGAGTCTACCAATCTGATCTCTGCTGAATCGGCATTTGGAGTTCTTTGCACTGTTGTAGTCTCCTGAAAACATACTAGGAAGTTCAGAATTAACTGCATGCATAACTGACTGTAACAATATGCAATTCATGATCCTTAAACAATAACTAATCATACTATAACTTACTACTTACTTATACTTTTATAGTTTTTTCATTATTATTTTTTTTTTAATTGGGGTTGTTTCAAAAAGGTTGGGAACGACAGGATTACACTATGTAACACACATTTTGTTCTTGGCTTCTAGTTATTACTTTGTAATTGAAAACATTAATTTATATGAATTTTTATTTTGTGAAAATGGGGAGGATTTCTTTTAAAAATCTTTTTTTATATGTATATCTCTAGTATATTAATTGCAACATCAATCCAAGTTTTTGTAAATTAACTTAGTAGACCCATCCGAAATTCTGGAACTCAAAATCTTCGATTACTAGCCACTTGAATTGGTCATGCATCAAAACAACCTAAAGATATTTGTTATTTCAACAATTTAGCTTAGAGCTGTAGCCTAAGGGGCCGCCGAATTAGATGGATATTCATTTTCACTGTGGAAAAATAATAAATGCCTTTAGATTCCGACTTTGAATAAAAAATGCAAGTCATTCGAGATACCTAGGGCCCTAAATAGCTTTCAAAATGGGATGGTTAGAATAGAAGCAACGTTCGATCTTTATTGCAAAGTAAACCCGTATTGATCATGTTGCGTGGCGAGTTTCCAGGCGCAAAGGACTAAAAACACTGAATTTTTCGACAAGGCAAAACTCTCTTCCAGCTGTTGACCCAATTTATTTGACATGGTCAACCACTAAGCCCTAAAGCTTCTCTTATGGATTTTTAAAAGCGTGTGCTAGAGTTCTATTCAGCAATATATCTTTAAAACACACTCCGAAAAAAAAAATTTTTTGCAAAAATATCTCAAAAATTTCTAAAAATAAATTGGACTTTGAGAAATTCTGTGTACAGTAGAGGGTTAATAATTAATTCCTAATTAATTAATTTTTTTTAACGTTATCGTCAAGTTTTTCCTAACACAACATCACCGAAACGCCTATTATAGCATAAATGGGTATTACTCTGAAATTCACAATTGTATTTACAGGTGTATCAAGTTCAAGGCTAAAATTACTGATTTTGATGACGTCACAGCTCTTATTATTACTTCACAGACCACCCCCAAGGCAAAAAAATTAAATTTTTTCGACGGAAATGCGCGTAGAACGGCGTAAACAATCCCATACGCGCATTTACGCGTTAAAATTACCATTAATTTTACGTATTTTTTAACTACAAAAAATCTCCATACTTCTGCCAACTATGGAGCAGTCGAAATCCTATTTATCAAAACAACACAGCGCCAGGGATGGTCAGGGATAGTATATATGACTGAAAATACATGCTAAACCAACAATAAGTCATCATAAAGGAGTATTTCTTGTCTGAGCTGAGTCGACATTTTCAGACGTCTGACAGGCGATTTTGAAATCCACGCTATTTATAGCATTCGCACTTTGCGTCACGGCTGGAAGGTTCTATCGCTTCTCTCATATCAGGCGATAACGCCAACAAAGAGCTAAGAGCGATATTAACAGTAGTTTACCGAGCACAAAATTAAAGCGTAAATATTCTCTCATATGAGCTTAGCCGCTGTAAAAGGCTTTTAAATGGCACCCTACAACCGATGGCTATTTGTGAAATCGACTTGGATTATAATTGGAAATATAGGGGAAAAATTCTGGTTTAATGGCTAAAAAGATATTTGCAATGGATTTGTCCTAATTTCTTCAAGATTTCTTTCATATAATTGAAGAAACACTTCTCCGGAATACCAAAAACACTAAAAAAAAGCACCATTCTATGTGTTAATGAAAGTGTTACGCTATTTTATATCACAAAAACCCGATGTTAGGGAAATCCGCCCTATTATCACAATACCAATATTAAAAAAAAAAAAAAATTAAAAAATCTTTCGATGTGCAGAAAATCTAGGTTGAAAGCTGGGAACAAAAAAGAGATTTTTATGCTACACAGTATTATCTGTCAAATTGCATAATTAAGGTAAATATTTCAATTAAAACCACTATCTTCTCCCTATTCAAGCATCGCATATGATGGTAAACATTGTATATCATATTAATGTTACATATTGCTTGTCTGCAGAAGGCTGGCTTTTGCGGACGTAATGTCAAAGAAAAAATTATGAAACATCCACGCAAGACTTCTGGTACAACAGTTTTGGTTTGCTTTACGCTTGCAGTCATAGCATACAGTACCACTGACATAGAGGCATATACATCAAGGCATTCTGCCACCAACCTATCTCAAACCGACCACCGACGGTTTCAAACAAATGAAAAAAAAAACTTCACGTGTATATTATGGATGTAGTGACCGAAAGTACATATATACCTGTCCCACTCGTGACATGATAAGTTGTAAGATAATGACTGTTTCGTAAGTGGCGTACACGGTTTGTGTTGCCGAGTATTCGAAAGTACATTTTCCATCGGTGGTTGTAGCTGTTACTGGCCCTAAATTCGTGACTGTTCCAGTTTCCGCAGTTGATTTGATATTAGTTTTCATCTAAAAGTGGTAATAGGGGAAGAAAATATGGCAAACTCATACATATGTATAGTAATTTGATACAGTAGTTTTATACCTGATCTAAATGGTGGGAGATTGTTTCTGTCTTGTTTTGTGTAAAATTAAAAAATGTAAAGTAATACATGTTAAATCAAAATCCGCCTTAATATCATAAGATTGGAAAAAATCGTTTCAGCAGCAGCATTTCGGCAGTTTATAGGTCCTTGGAGAAAAGTAAATACTTTTGGTAAACCAACAAGTTCATACCTTAATAAAATACACAAGTTAACCAGGGTATTATTCTCAATTACAGATGTGGCAAAAGAAAATCGCTTATTTATCTATTATGCTCATGTTTGGCGGTAATAAATTTTTCGTTCAAACTCAGTATCAAAGAAGGTGATGAAAATATTGTTTTGTTCTGAATCTGATGTTGTGCTCTCTTACTCTGTGGAATGTTTCATCCCTGAGTCTGTCTGCATTTGTAAAATACAGCAATTGAATGAACGGCGTTGCTGTATCCTGGTAGTATTCGAGGTCGCCATAGCTGTAAAACAAACACAAGTTTATATAGGAGTTAAAATTTAGTTTTGTTTTCACTGTTTATGTTCAATAGACATTGGCTTTCAATATCTTTTACGTTTATATTACGTTTTATATCAGTGAGGAATCAATTTCAACTATAAACCAATAGCGAATTCGTTAGGTTTGGGTTGTATTTTTAGTATTGAATTTGGAGTTTTCTTTGCTAAAGACTAACATGAATTGCGTCTAACTACCGCGCGCGAGCCGTAAGCAAATGCAACAGTCATAATTGAAAGGACTCGAGAAACTTTTTTTAATAAACGAGTTTAGTAAACAAGTTTATTTTGGAGACGTCTAAAGTTTATTAAAGCAATAGTCATTATTGGACACAAATTGCAAGTACTGTATGGATCTTTCTGCTAAATTGCTGTTATTCCGGTCGCTTATCCCTCGGCTAATCGTTTTTAATGCTTCAGTATCCAAAGATGGAAACTGTCGACAGGCGCTAGAAACCATTAATAAAAGGCTCAAACTTTTGTATTTTACAAATTTGTTTCGATGATTTTTTCAAAAACAAAAGTTTGCATATATATTTCGCAACTACATGGCATCCATCACACCATGGACCTTTCCCCGACCTTTACTCCCGAAAAATTGGTATGGCAATTGTGCTTATTTGAGACTACCTAATGTAGAAGGCAAGATTCATTGCAACTTTATCATGGGAAAGGCTCGTGTAGCCCTGTTGAAACAAATCGCAATACCAAGAATGGAGCTAACTAACGCTGTGATCTCAGCAAAATGAGTGACCTCATTGTTCGACAGCTTGAGTATAAGGAAATCAGTGTATAGGTGGGCTGGAGCAGTACTGGGCTATATAAATAATTAGGCGAAACGATTTCATATTTTCGTAGCTAACCATGTAAAACAGATTCATGATTCGAGCAAATCTGATACATGTCTTTACATCGATTTCTCTGTGAATCCCAGTGATGATGCATCAGGAGACATAAATGCAAGAGAACTTTATTATGATTCCTGCTGACCAAGAGGACCGGAGTTTTTATAGCAACAAGATCAAAGTTGGAAAATCTCATTATATAAAGCTGATGCGGAAATGAAACCGATGGAGGAAATGTCACTAATTATAATATTGGATTTGTCTCGAACCAAAGAAATTGGAAAGATTTTCTTCGTGGAATTCAGCCATTCGTGCAATGGCCAACTCTAATCGGTATGTACGATTGCTGAAATCCAGAGTACAAAGTGAGCACGTACTGTAAAATTTAGGTGTAGAACATATGATGCAGGCTGATTGTAATGAAGGTAATGAAATGTTTGTAATCCTAATATTTTAAACAGCGAATCTATCATCTAAAAAGTGAAGTTGTTAACCTAGATGGCGCTGTTGCCAGTGAAACGAAGCAATCATTTTCAAAAATTCAGACTTGCCTGATGATTGACTGAAAGAGTGAGAAGCTCCCACTTTTTTCTTTTTGTAGTTAGATATTTTTATATTATCATTTACTAACGATAAGGTCTAAATTGTTGCTTCGTCACCAGGAATATTTCAAGATGCTGCTTTATATGCTCCTAAAAGATGGCGAAGAGTGCAGTTTCTGCCGAATAAATTTTGGAAACGACGGAGGAAGGAATATGTACATAACGTAGGTATCACAAATTTTTTTGATTAATAACAAAGCGAAATTTACAGGCAAATTGACAATTAAACCTGGCGAGGCATACAGTCCCCATAGTAGAGAGCACTTTACCGGTTTCATTATCCTTTCACCCACGTACATTTGCGTCCGTCCACAGCATCCAGGACATTTTTATAGGCATATATTTGTACCGATTATCATTGGTACCTATGGACATTTGATCCCATATGAAGCTTGAAGAAATGAAACTTTGAAACACACAAATATTTACAAGCGAAATCGGGTTCTAATGCAAAAAATCATAGGTACAGGAGTCCATGATGTGCAAGTGTCGACGCAAATGATTTCCGTGGGTGCAAATAACAGTGATGCAAATGTCTGCGGACGCAATTGTCCGTGGCTGCAAATGTCCGTCGATTCAAGTGCATATATATGTGTCCTATTCCCGTGGGTGCAATCTATATGCAGGTGCTAGAATCTTTAGGTGCGTGGATGCAATTTTTCTAACAAATGGACATCCAAAAAATTGTAGAAATCGGTGGCACAAATGATAGCGACGAAATTAAAATCTTTGCCGACGTTAACATACAGTCTAAATGCACCCGAAACTTTGGTTAGCGGAAATGGAAAGTCTGATGTTGTTTTAACGCGGTTCGTTTGTAGGTTCTTCTTCGGAAAAAGTTCAGTCGGGTCGACCCCGATAACATTAATTGCTAATTGTGCGTTACATCTAAAAATATGGAAGTATTCTATACAAACAGATGGCACTATAATAGCGATGTGACCTTTAGGAAACAGTTGTGTGCAGGGAGTCAGCACAGTTAAGAAAGGGAAAGGTTACACAAAATTGGGAATTTTCTTGACGCTTCTACGTCTTATGATCTATTCTCTTGAATATTAGCAAGATTCGAAGACAAATAAAGAAGGCTGCCAGTATATAAAACAGGCCTAGGATATGCAGTTTGATCTGGAATTTGATTTCCATGTGGATCAATGCACATTATCAGGAAATGAGTCACTACTACTCTGTATGAACGTTTCTTGTACGATAGAGTCTACTCGAAGACCATACAGTAGCTCCATCGTTAAATTCAGTCGATAAGATAAAACAGTGTTTTAAGAAGTGAAAAACGGTTTCGAAAAATATTCTTTGCGTGCAATTTATGATGCCCCGGCTATAATGAACTGTTAGCCTGGTTTTATTGCACTCATGAAAAACAGCAAATCTATATATGCTCATGATTCATTGTAGTTCGTTGCCAACATTTAGCGTTTTTAATAAAAGTCATCCAATAGACAGTAATAACTTAAATCACCTTTTGATGGTGTTCCGAAATTTCTATAAAGTTACTTTGCCTGACGGAGGGACGACGGCACTTGGGGGGGCATATTTAACGTTGATGTAGAAAACCTATATGATAACACATTAATAAGGTGTTACACAAAGATTCGATTCAAAAATGTCCCTCAATTTTGAGATTCCTGAATGGATAAATAGTTGAACAAAGTTTATGATTATAGAATTCTCGAAAAGGAAGGCAAGGAACTCGCGTTTAGTGTCATGAAAACCCTCATGGAGGGCAAAAAATCGCCTTGACATAGAAAACGAGAATATGATTCATTCTGATGTATCAACTTTCCATTGTTTGAGAAGCGATCCCTGAGGACCAACAGCAAACGTTTCATAATGCATCCGTATAGTTGTTCCACCGTGCAATGTGCGCAAATTCATCCAAAGCGTGGTCGACGTAAACCAGAATGTTCAAGATTATGTCCCCGGTTAAGATCACACCTCTCGGAATTGTTCGTTGTTATTTTCGTTGTGTATTAGTATTTCATCCAATGTCGACAAAAATGTATCTATAGCCTATCGCATACTTCTCCATATAATTCGGAAAAACGGGGGTACAAGAAAGAATGTTAATGTAACGCACGTCTTGTTAATGCGCGCACTTGCTCGATTGCGCGAACTGTATTCGTAACTGTATTTGGAGGTTTTCGAGTCTCCCAACAATTCAGAAAAACGATCCATACGTCCAACCCGAGTCCAATAAAGTGGAAAATATTGACACTTGTGCAGTTACAATCTCGATATAAATTGATCACGTGTTGAAGTGGTTCAAATATCCTAGAATAGCATCTACCTTTTGTGCACATGTTGGGTGTATCGCATATATCTTATTGCACATTGAGCTTGGAGATGTAGTCATTATTTAATGTCACAATGATTTAAAACACGGACCCGTTTAGGTTGGAGCAATTCGAAATATATTGCTTGTGGGTTGCATTCTATGGTATTTCCGTTTTGAATATTTCAGCGAAAAAGCAGCATAATCTCATTTTGGTAGCGAGGGTAGGTATTCAATAAATGAGAACCCGCCCACTATACCTCGCATATTTTTATCCATTTTGCGTCCCAATCCAAACGGCTCCCATGGCTGTCATATGCCACTGGGCTATACCTATGTATATCAATATACTTATCGCCGCATCTCCTTATGAGGATTTTATAAGAATTTAAATTAAATCCCAAATTGAAAGCGTCCATTGCATGTGTTTTAATTTAAATGAATAACTCGGATATCAAACCCACGACGGTGTCAAATCGACTGTCAGTTATCTTCTGATATACAAACGCTGGTTTTATATCAATATTTTTGGTTGTATAATTCGTATCGTGTTACCCACCTCGTCAGTTTAATATTAGATTGACCTCGAGATAGCTGTACTTTATTTGTTTGCTTGCAACAATTTTCATTACGTCGAAAATCACATTCCCACTAAAGTTTGTTATTGTAAAGCTAGACAGTGTTCGGTTTAAAATCCGTTATCGCATATCCAGAGAAAGACTTCACACAACAGACAACAACTGCATGTTAACTCCAACTAAAGGCAATGGCTTTTACAATATTTAAAGGTACTAACCTTCTGTCCACATTGAAATCGTTTTGTATCAACAAGAATCTATCAAATCCAAATTCCTAAACATTTGAACATGTTATTTCGACTTAGTTTTGACAAAATATGTGTGAATCTTCAGGGTTCATATAAATATCTTAGTTTCACCATTTGATACTTGTAATTATGTCCATTTACCTCTGTGAATGAACCTTTTTTATGTTCTTGTACAGGAGTGTGCAATAAGCTGACCGCCAAACCATTTAGTATAGTTCTTGTCAACAGTCAGATTTTTTTCTGCCAAGGAAAAACCCTAATCCGTCAATTTATGTTTGTAGATGACATGGGTAAAAATACATGATTTCTTTTTTGCTTTTGTCGTTGCGTTAAATCTTTCATCGTTTTGCCAGGCGCCTTATTACTGTAAAGCTATGTAATAGACGCATACTCTTGACTCTCGCGCAGCGCTCTGGTTGTCGCTGCTCTATTTCGTTACCGCAGGCTTTTATAACGCTTATTTACAACATTATTTCGTGCTTAATTGGTACTTCCTCGCCACCAGCTTTTCCAATTTGAATCAGTTCAGTAGACTATTTTGCTAGTTTCGTGAGGGTAATATATTTTTTGTGTACATGGAAAAACTAATTTTTTTGTGTGGCACAGCTAGATGTCTTAAGTCGATTATATGGCTTACCGACAAAAAATCTTGCACACCCCTGCCTATAGTATGTTTTAAAAAAGAAGGTATACATTATGACATTAGGGAACGCATTTTCATTCATTAAGAGAGCAATGTTTAGTATTACCTTATTCCAGCTCAAAAGACTTTTGTATCATTTGCAATCATTAGGTTCATTTTAAAATACATTGTTGGGTCAATTTGACAATATATGAACGAATAGTACTGGCAAAATGGACCAGTCTAATCTAGCTTTTGAAATCAGATCTCTGCCTCGATATATTAGATAGGACTGTATTGGACGTCAAAACTGAGGTTTTTTAGCGGTGCTTTTAGTCTTCAACTAATTTAAAAGAGAACATTATTTTCTGTACATCATTCAAAAACAGACGTTTTAAAGTTCTTACCGGTGAAATGATTAAATTTGTGCTGCTCATATACGGACCTCCAGTTCCGGGGGTATATTCAAATGAGTTGGTGTTTAAAGCATTTATATTAGATCTCTCGCTTGAACCAATATTTGTCAGTGCCTCGTACGGTATATTTCCTCCTAATGAAGATAACAAAAACTCATTAATGCTGACTATAATTCAGTCAAGCACATTACCACAAAGATCTGTTGATTCGCATTCTCAAAGAGAATCGAGATTAGTAGGCTACAAGTTTGGGCGCTCCGGAAGTGTGTGTACCAAAATGGCGCATAACCTAAACCCTAACCTGATACACATACTATGTTCAGGTTGTGCGCCATCTTGGTACACATACTTCGGGAG